TAAATTTTAAATTAAAGAGCATAGTGATCTTTTTGTCATTTTTCTTAGATTTTCATAGGCAGAATGAGCATGCTTTTAATGGAGGTTTAAAAAATAACATTGAGAAGACAAGGGCAGCAGATAGGATTGGAAGGTACTCTGAGAGATCCCTCAGCCCACTCAAGATGGGATTAATTATGCCAAGTCATTCCTGACTAACGCTTGTTTAATTTGTCCTTAACTACTCCTGGCTGCAATTTAAACATATTAGCAGAGTGGGCAGCAAGAGTAACTTCTTGGAGAACTTCTCTGTTATTTGAAGACTGTTGTTACATCTCCTTGAGTCTTGGCTAAGCTAAACAAACCCAATTCTCTCAACCTTTCCTCACGGAACTTGTTTTCTAAACCTTTGATCATTCTTGCTGCTCTCAGGTGTCCAGCTAACTCAGATCTTTCTTGATATTTGGTGTATTAAACTCCATACAGTGCTCCAGCCTCAGGCTGTAGCCTTCCGAGGGCTACTTCATAGGTCCTATGTGTGACAACTTCGTCGCACACCCTAGTAGGAGGGCAATTTTATTAGAAAAAATACTGACTTGTGGTCTGTTTGTTATCCTTTAGCCTCCACATCTTATTCCTAATTAATTGGTCTGTAATCAGGTGTTCCCCATGTTGTATTTGTGCAACTGATGATTTCTACCAGTCCTAGAAAGAAATCAGGCTGACTTTTAGGAAGCCTGTTGTTTTATGGGTGTTTATTGTTTTCGATTGCTTTCATGCTTTCAAGTCAGCCCAACTTCAGATAGTCTGGGATTTCCTCGTACTGCCCTTTAGAGATTGGCACTATGTTTGCCTTTTTCAGTTGTTAGACGCTTGCCTGCCACTCTGATTTCAAAGGTAAATCACTAATGGATCTGGGTTTGAACCAAAACAGCACAAAACATTTCTGTTACTTGATCTGTTTCCCTGGACTAACTCTTTCTACTTATTACTAACTCCTTCTACTTATGACTAACTAATGTACTTAGCAAGTATTGTCATGTTGCTGTTTCCTTCTGTATTTATAGTTGTACTTTGGCTTTTGTATTTTGCTTCTATGTTCCTGCAGCTGCATCAAGATATTAAATAGGATGCAACTGGCTTTTATTTCAAAGCCAAGCCATTTTTCATCTTTAATAAGATGACCTAATGGGCACTGCTAGCCCGTGATTTCTAAGCAGACGGTTCACAGTTTTCTGCGTTGTATGCCTTTGCATATTTTCCAGTCTATATACACTGGGTACTGACTCCATTAAAAAAAGACTGTATAAGCTCTTCTCCTGTTATGTCACTCCTACACATTCCTTCCCGTTCACGCTCAAAGAAATAAACCCAGCTTTAAGAAAGCTGATTTCTGTTGGTTAGATTTTTTTTTTTTTGTTTCACATTGCCTATTTCTTTCTCTTTCTGATGCGGTGAATAGTTGGTGATAACTAGAAACAAGAGAGCTGGTGTGTATACTCATTGTAAAATAAGGCATATTTTGTTGCAACAGTAGTGACTAGACACGAGCTGTCATCATATTCCGGTGTTCTACAGTTAACTATGCATTAAAAATATTAATAGGAGTAATAGCTTCTATTATACAGAATGGAGCTGCTTTACAGTCCCTACCTAATGTACTGTGGAAATGTAGCCCCCACCTGGGGAAGGGAACAACCAAATAGCGTAGCACGTACCAGATAAGTCTGGGAAAATGTCTGCAAAAACTCACAGAGGAATTCAAAAGAAATGGGATTTTTTCTTACAGCCAAAGATACAACAAACATTTCAGTTAATAGACTAGTTGGGGATGTGGCCGGGGGGGGCATTCTTTCTTGTCTGTGGGTTGCACAGGTAAAGGTTCAGTGGCTGCATTCTGGCCCACAAAGGTAATTTCACATGTGGCAGTCAATGACAGCCGAAGAAGGTATCTACTCTCCGTCACACAAGTGTAACCTTCTTATAATATTCCTCTCTATTGACATTTAACTGGCCTGTCTGCAGCACAGAAATGGTGTGACTTAAAAATCAACTCTTAATGAAGTTGCTTCAGTAATGCGGACCCTTTCCAAAGGCCTGATTAAGCCAAATTGTGAATCTGTTTCAGATGAGTCCATTTATTTGTTTGTGTCCACTTTCTG